GTGTGTGTGTGTGTGTGTGTGTGTGTCTGTGAGCGTGTGTGCGACCAACTTGAAATGAGTGTCTCGCAGCAGCAAAAACAAAAACAACAACAACATCGACAACAGCAACAACAAGAACAACAATGGGCTGTGCCGTGCGGAAGCGGAAACTTCAAAGCGCGCACACCTTGGCTTTGTGTGGAGGCTGCCCGGCGTGTGGGCGTATGCCGAGGGCATGGCTGCTGGTTGATATGGTGATGTAAGGTCTGTTGGGCATACATATCATACATATTTTGAGTGCACCTGAGTGCGTTTGTGTCTCTGAATTAATTCGTTTGCGAGACTTCGCTTGAGGAGCCTCTCGGTGACAACAGAGGCCACGGATAACTTTGTTGTCAATTTGGCTTATTTGATTTGAGCCTGGTCATGTTGTTGTTGTCATTTATTTGCAGCACAATGTTGTAAATAAAAGCACACCCCGATGACAATAGCATTTTTTTTTTGCTATTTTATTTGGCTGGCAGTTGTTAGTTGCTCTTGGGACATCTCCAGACATCCTTTCTGGGTCTGTGCCTTGCAAATCGCTTTTGCACTTTACTTTTCACACTTGCAACATTTCAACGAGCTGAGCCTGAATTGGCGATATAGAAATTTGTTAAATCAGTACAACAAAAAATTAAGTATTCCATTAAGCAGTGTGCTTAGTAACACCATTTAACGAACATATTGATTAAATCCTTGAGAGAGTAACTAGTATCTTGATAAATAAATAATAGTCATATGTATCCTTGTTTGGAGGACTAGATATGTCCTTATGCAATGCTTTCTTTCTAACATTTTTACTTAGTTAGAAATATCCACGCAAAAAAGTACCAAGTTTCTAATGTATTAACAATAACTAGCTTTTTCTTTTGCATAATTTTCTTTTCGATAATTTTACTTGGTAATAGGTTTATTCTAATCAGTTTTTCATTGACGGTCCATCGCCCTCTCTCTCTCTCTCTCTCTGCCTCTCTCTTTTTAGCTGATGATATTTTATGTTTTTTTTCCCAGCAAAGTGACAAAAAAGCAGCTGAAAAATGTTTGACAACTGTGAGAGTAAGAAGAATTCGTTTAACTGCGTAGATATGTATCTTAGCATGTGTCAAAAGGGGTTCTTTTTACAACCAGTTCCTCAGTTCCTGTTACTCTTTTTGTATTTTATTTACTTTTTTTTTTTTTGTATGCTTTGCATTTTTTATATGCTTCTGCTGTTTGTTAGAATGTCTCATCAGGTTCTGCTTGACATTGTGCATAAATATTTGATTTCGGAATTTTGCGCGCACTTTACGTTTTACTCGGCCAAATTGTTGTAATTCTGTGTGTGTGTGTGTGTGTGTGTGTGAATACGGAGATCTCATTAAATTCACTAAAATGCGTGAGTTTTTTCCTCTAGCTGCTGCCCTTTTCATGTTTTCACTGGGCAAACAATTCGTTTTGAGAAGTCCTTCGCCAAAGGATGCACGCTGTAATTTGATTTCTGACAACTGCTCCAAAAAGTCATGTGAATGTGTGTGTTGTGTGTGCGTATATGTTTTGGGGGGGCGTGTTTGATTCGCAGGATAAAGTTTGTTTGGATTTCTTAGCTTGCTCTTGAGATTGTTGTTTGTTATTCCTGCTGGTACCGTGTTGCAGCAACAACATTAAGTAAAAGAAATTTTCAAAAAAAAAAACTGTGTCCTTGTCATATCTGTTATTGCATTTGTTTTGTCGCTCGTGCTTTTCGCTATTTATTTCTATACCCTTTTCAAAAGTATTACAATCCTGCCACGACACATATGTATCATTTGTGGTCATATGTCAAGCTTCAAAATTCTATCAAGTTGTTAAGATTAACCGATTCATATTCTGACATATTGCCTTTAAACTAATTGACAGTTCTTGGGCATGGAAGAGAAGTTATAACTCTTGAAAATTGCATAATTAATATTTTCAAAGCTTTTAGTTATTTGCAGAATTCAGCAAAGACAAAATATGGTATAATATATTTATATATATTTAATTGCATATATATCTGACGAACCGAAAACTTCTGAGGAATACTCTATAGATTTTGGAGTCAATTTCAAAAGCTATGAGTCTAAATTTATTTTGTTTATTTCATTTAAAGCGCTTTAGTTAAAGCTTTTTTTTTAAATTGGGTTTTAACAGATTAGTTTCCTAATTTATTGCTCTTCTAGGGTATTTTATGATCGATGTGTTGCACGTTCTCGTTTTACGTGTTCGAAACTCTAAATGAAATTCCCCAATTATATTCTTCTCAGCATTACGATTATATTTTGTTGTTGACTGTTTGTTGTGCTTTTTTTACCTGCTCAATAGCTACCTCTGACATTCGGCTTTTGCCAAAAGCCAAAATAAATTGAACTTTTCACTTTGTAAATGACTTTGGAGCAGCTGCTGCTGTTGCGAATCTTCAAATTGAGCATAGAAAAGATTTAATTCAAAATAAACAAAACTTATTTTTAAAATCAATAAACAAATAAAAGATTGGTGCCGGCTTGAAAAGTTCTTTTTATTTATTTAAATTTTTGGGGTAGACATTTGAAATTTAATATTTTTTCCAAGTGATTTTCCTCTTTATTTACAGTCTATATATGAACTAGCATGTTTTTCCCGGCCCAAGTTTCTTGCTCAAATTTAAGATAATAAACTAAATGGATAATAAACAATAAGAGGCAAAACTTGTCAAAGCCCCGTCTTACCGCAATCCTCCATTAGATCAGCTTACTAGATTTTACCATTTGGATTACGCATTGATCATTAATCAATTAGTTAGTTAGTCAGTTAAGTCTATGTTCATTTTTATAAACATAGAAGTAAGTTTCATCCTATTCAATTCTTTATCTCAAATTCCGACTTAAATTTAAAGGGTTTAACAGATTCAAGTTAAGGCATTTGTTATGAGAGTAAAAAAAAAAAGAATAAGAGCATTTATTTTAGTTTAGTTTAGTTATGCTCCCATATTGGGTCTAGGTTAATTTGCATTTAAAAGACATAAGTCTCCATTGAAACGTAGCCCACTTTGAATTTGATACCCTTTTATTTTGTCAAATATATATTTTGTATCGAATGCACCCATATCAAAAACTGCTCAGCCGTGCTGTCAACTTTTAAAGGGTGAACTTTTCGAACTGAAACTTGGCCAAGTAATCAAATCAATTTACGCCCATATTGCCACGCCCAATTTTGGCCATTAATTGGGCAAAACGATAAAGTCAAAACGATAAAATTGTTGAAGCCAATTTTGTTCATCATTTTAGTTTGTTTTTTTTTTTGGCAGTTTCTAAAATTTGTGTGTTTCTTGAACGTTTTCTTGTCACATAGATGTTGTTGTTGCTGATGGTTTTTGCTGTTTTGTACTTGCGGCTGCCAACTTTGTATATCTTTTTTGGCGATAAAAACAAAAATGTCACATTCAACTTTACTGACAATGTTGACAACCGCAACAAGCAACAACAACAAGCTGAGTTAAGCAGAAGCAGCAACCGCAAATCTGCCACCGAAAGTTGGTAGAAAATCAGTTAACGCATTTGAATTTGTTTGACATGGCCTATTTTCATTGCATTTGATTTGAATTTGTGCTGTTTGTACCTACCAAATCGGTTTGGGTCATTATCCTTGTGTTATCCTTGTTTTACTGGGCGTGTGTGTGTGTGTGTGTCCTTTTTTCGGCACCTCATCGATTAGCCAAGTGTTGCCATGCAACAAAGGCGGCCGCCTTCGAGCAGCAGCGGCACACACAAAACACACAGGGGGAAGGTTGAAGGGTAAACCGCATAAACTACACACCGAACCGGACAGGGGCGCGGAGTCAGGGGTCAGAAAATGCTTGCCAGGATTGTCGTAGAGACCGCAACGTGGTGACACGGACACAAACAGAATGTTGCACGTAACTTGATGACGAGTGTACAGCAAGCGGCCTTTGTTTATGTTTTTATACGGGCAGGATAATGCCGCATATCCTGAAAGCTTGTCAATCCAATCAACGTACAATTTTGCCAATTAAAATAGTCACAGCAATTGAATCGTTTTCGCGCTGGCCGCTTGTTCGAATACACGCAAGCACTCAAATGCAGGTAAAGGCTGTTGCAATTTCAATAATAACAACTATGTTTGTTTATTGTAATGCTGATGATTATGCGGCTGATAACAGTTTAGATTTCACTATTCGTATGACACGGTACAAAGCTAAACGGAGCTCAGCTGTCAGCTGCGACAACGACACGACCGACTGCTTGCACGGCTCGCCGTCAACTGGTCCCGCCTCGAGGTTCGGGCTGACGCGTTGCGCGAGACCCGCAGCGACAAGGTCTGGGATATTTGTCGCTAGCTGCATTTAATTCACCACACCAAACGAATTGCAACTTGGGGCTGTTCTCTCTCAAGCTCGCTGCCTCTCTCGCCTTCTGGTTGCTGTTGTTTCCGCAGTGGTGAGTTTGCGCCAGGAATCAATTTATAATTCGTTTTGTGGTTTGTTTTCATTTTGCCGGTTTGTTTACGTTTTTGCCTTTTCACCTTAGCCGGCTTTTCAATCTTTTGGCATGTGACAAGGCACATGCCATTTTTAGCTGAAGATCCACAAAATAATATCACATATTGGGGATGGGTAGAAACGTTCTTAACAAAGCTTTTCCGTAGAATATAAAAAAAAAAACATTAATGCTTCGTTTTTAGCTATATATTTATGCTCTTGAGTGCAGCTATCAATTCGATCAATATATTTACCTGGAAAATAATTGTTATTAAGTCGAAGAACCAGCTGGTTGCCTGAGAGTCCGTACAAACAAATTTGTTCGTATTTCGACTGGTTCGGCGTATTTACAAAAAATGCTTGTTTTATTGCAGGACACCGCAACCACAAGAGCCAAAGACACATCGCATCAGTTGAAGGTGCAAAGGAACAGCAGCAACAGCTAGTATAGGCAAAGGGCATCAATAACAATACGGGTGCAAGCTGAACAATACAAGGAACAGCTAACTTCTCCGGGAGGCAGTCATGCTGGCGACAACAACTACAACAACACCAAGCAGAACATCTAAAGCCACAATTACCTCAGATCCGGGCATTCTGTGTTTTCATCACTGCAACGTGAAAGTCTTCTGCTTCGTCCTGCCCCACACATGTCCACATTGCAATGAGCAGCTCAATGCGGATGCCCATACGGTTCCGGACACATCCGGAGTTGGGAGCAGCAGCTCTATGATTACTGCGATGCTGCTGCCCTTTCGATTGCCCTATCCATTTGTGCGAGCCACGCAGCATCCTTGCGCGATTGTCCTGCGACCCTCCTCGGGCGACTTCCTCAAGTAAGTACCTTATAAGCATACGGCTGCCCGATCCGGCAAACTAGCGATTTCTATAAAAAAAAGTTTAAAGCTAATGTCACGTATGAAATGGGAACTTTGAAATCGCCGATGAGTGGAAACATTGTTTGCGCGAAAATTAGAGGCTTCCAAATGGGAAAATATATTTTTGTATAAGATAAACTCTCCAAATTTGTCAAGTACAGTCTACTGTCTAATAGAAATTGAAAATTCGAACTCGAAAACTTCAGCTAACATGCAGCGTGTACTTTTATAAAAATTCCCTTAAAATCGTAAATAATATAGTCTTGTGTTATATGTAGCATACTTTTGGTAGTTGATAAATTGGCAATGGATAAAAACTTAGCTAAAAGTAGTATATATTTTGGAATAGGGCAAATACCTTGTATTAGATAGATTTGCAGCTTGTGGATAAATCGTTTTTGTGTTGTTGTGACAAGCGCGAAAAAAATCAAACGAATTTGTTGGACGGCTTAGCATGGAGGAGGATGCAGGTTGCTGTGTAAGCCCAAATCCCAGAAATTGTTAACAATTTTTGGTGAATTTTTTCGTTTTTGCATCTATAATATGCAAAATGTGTCTGATGCGTTTTTGTGTGTTTCCGCAGCGATTACAGCAACGCCACAGATTTGCATATCGCGGTGACCACATCCGCCGGCGACATTGTCGAATTCGATAGGGACGGACTTCAGCGGCATCGGCGCGACGATAATCCCCGCGACTGGTGGCAATCACTGCTTGTGGGCGATGTTCCCGAGCCCTGGCACTACTACTGGGATGAGGTGCTTGAACAGGTGAGTGTGGCTTGCCTAACTGTGTGTGTGTGTGTGTGTGTGTAGCCTGTTCTGCTCAGGTCCCTCTGGTACCGATAAACAGGAATTGCATGCAAATCTCTAAGCTGCTTCTTCCCCGATAGATTTGCGCGCAGTCAGCGCGCTGGTCCATTGAACGCTACGAGGAGAGCAGCCACAACTGTTATACCTTTGTGCTGGCCTTCCTGCAGTCGCTCAACTATGCCCAGCTCAGCGAGGCGGCCCGCACCAAGACCAGCTTCTGTGAGAAGTTCATTGTGCCCAGAACGACCACGGCTGGCAAATACATCTCGTTATATCGCCGGCTGCGCCTGGCCGGCGTTCATGTGCATCGTCAGCAGCCCAAGCAGCGGTCCTTCAAAACGGACGTCTCTGATGGCAAAGATCTCAAATTGGCCAGCACAAAAGCTAACAACACCAACTTTGTGTGCGGAAATATAGGAGCACGTTCACATCTGCGTCAAACACTCGGCACCATCGAAGAGTAATCGAAACTTTACAAAAAAATTGAGATGGCACTATCGGTGGAATCGATAGCAAAATTTATCGATGACTAAATGGGTAAATGATGCACAAAGGTTTTGTGCAAATGTTATCTCCGACCCATTAATGTGTATATATTCCGAGTCCGTCTGACTGTTTGCATGAACACGACGATCTGAACATAAGTTCTCCCAGTTCCCGCGCACGATTTCCGATAAACGATAACTGTCCCTGTCAATGCTTAGTTTTTTAAAGCTAGATTCACCATTTGCCGCAACATTTGCCACATAGCATCTATAATAGTATATACAGATCAATTGTCTTTCAGCAGATCAACCCTCTAAGTCCTTTTGCTGGTGTAAAAATCTAAAATAATTCCTTGAATTATCACTATCGATACTTTTGCAGCACAAATCGATATGCTGCTCGTGTACTTGGTTTTATTAATTGTTAAGTAGTTGAAAGCAGCGAAACGTTAAATAGTTACGAGGGGACATTTAAAAGTTAATTCTTTTATAGCATACATTTTAATTAGACTTTAATTAACAAACGTAATTGCTGCTGACTTCTGGTGGGTTGCATTATCGATAGCACGAACAGACACATAAAGTTTGTCGATTGTTTAGCAGATACCGTTAATACTATTCATTATTTGCACTATTTGCAGCACTATTAAATATGCTTCATTCATATTTCAATTTAGTTACTTTGTTCCTACAGTATTTACAGAACTTTGTATAATTCACAATACCAGATGCTTGGACAGAAATTTTAATATTTTATTTGATTAATACGCAAATGATATTTATACATCAAATTTTTACGGGGTCTTACTATGACCTTTTCTTTGTTTTTGGTTTTACTTGTCGTTCATTGAGCAAAAGCAAAATAAAAAAAATTGTATTTAATGTGATTTTAAATAGTGATTTCGAAATAAATTATATACTATATTTTATTAAGCTTTAAATGCTCTTAGTTAATCTGAAGATCTCTCTCCTTGTAAAATTTTGATCATCCCACAAAAAAAAACCAGTGTAGAAAAATCGTGAAAAAAGTGCGCAAATGTTCTCTTATATGTCATTCATATGAATCATATTTTTGTATAAGTAACATAAAATTGCCTAGATAAACAATAGTGCATTCATTAGACAATTAAATTAGACAAATTATTGTGAAATCTCACTATGGCGAATATCGTAAATGTAGATAACACCATCTATGAGTCACGATCGGCGCTGCACGAGCGTAACCAATTTCTATTCCCAACAAAGTCTTGGTAGAATTTCCCTGTGCAATTACAGAACAAACACTTTGAAGCAGACTTTAATTGGAACAGTTAAGACAGCTAACTAAGTGACATAAAGATTTCGAGCGAAAACTACGATCAACTTGATGTGCAAAGCCCATTAAGTTAAGCCTATTTTTCAATTCGCCCAAATACAAACCAGCTGGCTAAGCACATGTTTCCTCGGGAGTTAATTAAATTGCGAACCCACCATGAAATCGAAATCGTATAAGAGAGAATAGTCTCGCTGCAGTTTCGCGGTTTCATTTCGCACCTCAGCTCCAAGTTACGCGCAAGTTTTTTCTTGTTCTTTTTTTCTGTGCGATAAAAATAGTTATATTGCGCGACAAGTTGTAGAAGTTATAATAAATAATATATATTATAATAGAAAACAGCTGCGTCGCGCATAATTCTTGTTAATTTAAATGTGTCACATTCTTTTAATCTATTTTTTTGTTTGTCAGCTTAATGAAAGCGCATAGAAGTTTTCGATACGTAATTCTTTTTGCAATTTTGTTATGTGATTTTGTTCATTTTTCTTAATCCGTTGCAGCGATCGCCATTTTGATAATGAGAGCCAATTTTAAGTGTGTGTAAGGAAAAGAACAAAAAAGTGAGAGAGTAATTAGATTGAGACGAAAGATAAGCAAAGATGACAATTGTATTGTGTCTTTTTTTCTTCTTTTTTATTCTAAACAACAATTCAACGCCTATGAAAGCCGCACGGATGAGGAAGATGGATATCATGTAAGTAAATAGCATAATTACTTTATATAATTTTTTTTTTATTAAGAGAAGCTTCAACAAACGTTGTCAAAAAGGTTTTCGATGTTAATCTTCTTCTAATTTGATGGGGGACTGACATTCTCACGGTACATGTTATTATAGTTGCCAGGTGGATCATAGTTGCATACGACGTAAATTGTGTTGCCACTGCAAGATAAAGTAGGAAGTGAATGTTGGTTAGCTGGGAATGACAGAAGATCTTAATTGAGGTTCCATTTGTTATGCTCACCGTCGAGCAAATCCTACACCTAGCCGCTTGGAGGATTTCCAAACCACCTGGGTAAAGTGGCCAGTGTTCATTTGAAAGGAAGGGGCACGCCAATTGTAGTCATTGATCTCATGATACCAGGAGTCAACTGCATCGGCACCACCCAAATTACCACCCGAAGCCATGTAGATGTTCTCTCCATATCCGCTGTTCTGGCGATGTTCCATGCGATTGTTGGCCAGCAGATGCTGCATTGGTTATGGGAAATTGTTAGATAGAGCTCGAGACTTTGGTGGATCATAACGTTAGTTGACTCTGTACCTTAGCCCAGTTGGTGGCCAATTTGGATAGATTGTCGTCTAGCTGCAATGGAGGCGCATTGTGCTGAGCTCTGTAGGCATTGTGGGCCTCAAGCACCTCTTGTTCGAACTGTAATGGATCGGTTTTCATATATCTTAAAATACACCACAAATATTGGCAAATGCGTGGAGAAGTATGGGATGAAGTATTTTTGTTTTATATTGGATCATATTAGAGTTGTATTCGATTGACTTATTTTTAAGGTTATATTTTAAGGTATTTTAAGCAGATAAAATATAATTTTCACAGAATTTTTGCTCGGAGGGTGTGGAAAATAGGAAAAATAAGCTTATCCCAGGCAGAGAGCATGTATATTCTTATGTATAAGCAGAGATTAGCACAGCCAACCGGAAGTAATTCGATTTAGGAAGCGATTATCAATATGAACATTGCCCCAATACCACATCCTTACACTCTCTTGGGAATCGTACGCGTATCCTGCTTGGGCAATTGCTTGAATGACTGGGCCACTCAGACAGCTGATTATTATTAGTAGTATGCTTACAGCCTGAACACTCATTTTGCTTCGAATACTTTGCAATATTGTTTCGGCAGCACTTGCAAAGTTTTTATTCAATTAATGCTCCTAATGCACTTGCTATTTCGAGACTTGTCACAGACTCGTGCCGTTATTCAAACGAGACTGAGTGGCTTGAGCCACCAACTCCGGCGTTTTATTTATGTTCTCATTTGCTGATAAGGCCCACAGAACCGACCCATAACTCGAGCAAATTCCCTTGCCCGCTGACTAATCGCTTTATCAGCGGGTGTGTTGCACATCCGCGCACAATGCCCCACATCTGTACTGTAGTACTTACGTGACGTAGACTTAGCTGGAATAGATTTCCTTAAACTTGGTATCTGGCGAGTGCTCTATAAAATGGGAGGTAGACGTGCAATGATTACTTTTTTGATGAATAATATACGACTTTTTATTTTCGAAATTTATATTTACATGCTATTTACAGTTACAGTCATTATTTACATGAATATAGAGTATATAATTGGGTTAGCCGATATATAAATTTATGATGATATTAAAATTTTATGGCACAATATTAACTTCAAAGGCGGCCTGCACCTCCAAGTCGTCTTGTAGCCATATTCTCTTCGTAGAGCAGACGACTTTCAAGTTCGTATTAACGTATACTCTGGCCTCATTGAAAACGGGCTGAAACGGGTGTATTGGTTTTGTTACTAAGTAGCATCAAATCCATATCCATCCATTCATCCATCCGTCTGTATTAGCGTGCTGTCTGTAAAACGTGTCTTTGCCGAGACCTTTCTGGGACTTTTTTCTTAACTTTAAGGCTATATTCCTTTAGCTTATGTTGTTAACATGAATGAATCTAATGGAACAGTGACTAGGCTTTATGAACATATCATACATAATGGTGCCCTTGGGAGAGTCAATGTCGGCATGAGCATTACTTCGGGAATGACGGACCAAAACGGGAAGCACATAATTAGGGAAACCTTAGTTTTCTGAATGCGCCTCTAGTGAACGTGGAGACATAATATATCTATGCTAAGTGTACTAAAGACAACCCACTAGAGTATCTGAACACTGTCTGCCCATTTTTATATATGGCAAAAATTGGAGAAGATGTATTCGTTGGCCCACAGCTTCGAAAGCTTTTGGGAAGTGAGAAATTGTACACCATATTGAGATCAGATGAAAAAACAGCTTGGAACTCATTCCCACACGTATCTAAATATTTTTTAAAAAATTATGAAACAATTATCTGGAATATATCACTAAAAGTCCGTTTTCTACATTCCCCTTTCGACATTTTTCCGCAAAAACTTAGATGAACTCCGCGATGAGCACATTAAAAATGGGGTGACTTGATATTTGAATGAATAATGGATTTATTTACTAGCTTTCAGGACCAAAAAGCTTTTTAAAATTGGGGATGAGATTCTCGCGCACTTTCACAAATTCATCTGAAAAAGAAAACAAAATTCAATGTGACCTAGTTTTATCCATGTTAATAACTAATAAGATAAATTATAAATCAAATCCATGTTTTTATTTTGTTTTTAATTATAATAATGCCTAATTTTATTTTTCATCATTATTCATTGTTAAATCAATTTTTTTATTTTAATGTTTTTAATGATAATTAAATATTTATTATTTCATCAAAATGCTAATGTCGATTATGTGCATATGTAAATATTCATATGTCATTCATATGTAAATAACCATATTATTTGGTTTTACATATTTTCGAAGTCCTACTTATAGCAAGGGTATTAGAACTTCGGCTAAGTCAGCTTTGCCAATTTGCATAATTAAATCAGTTGTTATCTTTGGCAGAGGGCTAGCTTATCAATGTGAATTTCACCTTATGAGGCGTACATTTTGTAAATATTGACAATAACACTTGCGAACAAGTGGCGCTATTATTCCGAGAATATAACACCCGGGGGCTTCCTTATTGTGGTGGCACAGTGGCGCACAGTGATTGTGGTTTGGTCGTATGGCAGTGGAATAAGGGCGGATTGTAAAGTTATAGAATTCAATCTGGCTGATGGAATGTGAAAAATCAGAAGCTATTTACTTCTGCTGCAATCTATCAAAATGTACAATGCATTTATCCTTTTCAAAAGGACTGTGCTCTACTTTTAAGGCTGAAAAACCACGCCCACTTGTTACCATGCATTGGGCGGTAGGCGACAAGCAAATTAAAAATGACAAGTCAACCCCCGCCACTTTCCCCCGTCCCTTTCGCCAAAAAAAAAGGCAGACGACGGTGACGACAAAGCATTTGACATTAGTTGAGATTTTTCAATGGTCGCTTGACAGCGCTGGAAACGTGTCGAAAAGTGGGTGCTTCTGGCGGGGATTGGGTGCATTACGCAGCCATAGAAAGGCTTGGACCGGACGCTGGTATTGAGGTCTTTCGGTGTGTCTGCCACCAGGTACAAAGTTCGCTGCAAATACCCAACTGATAATAAGTATATAGAACAATGGGCCAACGAATAGATACAAACGAATTCCCTCAACCGCACTAAGTGTTGCTCAAGGTCTGTGCTGAATGGCGGATTCTCTGATTTCTGTTCCACTGCGAGACTCTCATAAAAATGCACATTTTTATTTTCACTGTGGCTTTTCTGTTGTTACGCCCTTTATTGTATAAAGGTTGCCATTTTAATTAAATAATAACATTTAGAAAGAACTATGACTCTCGATAAACTCATTTCCTCCACATTTGACTCATATGGCCCCAGCAAGTGCTGCGACATTGAAAATCACTTGTTTACGTGCCCCATTTCGGGCACACCCATTTCTCGCGTAATATACGATACATATGGGTGTGTGTTCAACCTTGTGCCATGCACACAAAAGGGCTATACAATATGTAATTGTGGCATGACATTGCACCACTTTCACATTTGCCATTTGTAGTCAGCCGATTGTATCACAATTGTGGTCATATGGAATTATCAAATCAGAAATCTGAGAAATGGCGATAAATATTATATGACTTATTAGATAGATACTGAACTGAGCAGCTTTGAAAATGAAATCCATTGTGCATGGCCAAAGATTTGGCAAGCAACAGCACAAACGAGAATAAAAGATACAAATATTTTCAATATAATATTTGCATCATTTGACTTGAGAGAGTGTCGCTCTCAATGCATTTTAGTGAAGCTTGCAGCTATCGTTTTACAACTTATTATACTTGAGCGATCGTACTAAGCATCCTTAATGGTTGAATTCAATAACAACATCATTATTATACCCCAATGGGCAGAATGGCGACAACAACAAGCTGAAAACTTTGTTGACTCAAGACTCATAAGTAAAACTTTGCGCGAGACAAGGCAGAAAACTTATTTACTTCTAGATTACGTGTCCTCAAACTTGGCAACGACATTATAAAATTTATATGCACGTTATGCGTGCCATCCAAGATGAAATGTCCCGACCTGGCACAAGGAAGATGATGAGCTCGCTGCTCATCAAGCAGAATGTAATTACATTTTCGCCTGATTCATGACAGTTTTGCATAACGAAACCGCCTCGTGCCGTGGATATTACGATTATTAATGAGACTGGCGGGAACAACAGCCACAAACGGCTGAGCGCGCCAGCAAAGACAGCCAACAAGGCTCTCGCTAGACATATGCATTGGAGCTTCATCCTGTTCTATCAACCAAATTGTTTTTCTGTTCAATTATAATAATTCTGGCATTTCCCGTAACGACTTTTGACCCCGTGCGTTTTGGTTAGCCAGCTAAAATTTACGCATGTTGAAATAAATATGGAAATATAGAAGAAATAACCCGTCGTCGCCGAGTCAAATCAATGCTAAGTATTTAAAGTGCAAATGTTACCGATCAACTCTATGAGTATAGACAATTCATATTGTAGTTCCGGGTCAACTGATTAATCTTGATTTCGACTGAAATGATGGAAACAATTTCATTTGGCCCGATTTTGCAGAGCTTATTAAATATATACTTAATTCACGAACTTGTTACTTAAACTTAATCAATATGCTAGACTGTCAAACTGTTGATGTACTCCTCTTTAAGATTTTCTATATTAATTTCTATAATTCACAGATTTGTCTGAATGTTGGTTGCCTTCTTATTTAAGACTTACTTAACTATTTTCATTTTGTGACTTAAGATTTGAATAGTGAAAGCGACCTGTTAAATTGTTTAAGGTTAGACTTTACGCACAATTTAATGATATTTTAATTATCAGCTCAGCTGCTTTAAACTGCCGCCATGTCAGCCCCTCAAAATGTATTGCAAAATTGAATTGGAACAGAACATGCAGCATATGTATATTAAGTACATGCGTCATTTTGATTATTATAATTAAGGCTGGCAGCAATTTAAATGTTAAAACATGCACTCAATTCAAGGACTGTTGCGATTACCCAGTGCATTCGCCAGTATTGTGCTAATATTTATGCCAATGAGTTTATGTTCACAATATTTATTATATTGTTGTCTGATGTTGTTTGTGCTTAAAGCCAAATGCATTTTACTTTACAAAATAAGATTAAACTTAGTTATAGGCGCACATTTAAAAAGTTAACTTTATTGAAGAGGTAATTTTATTTTTGACAAGCTCTTTTATAGTGACAAAGCAACGATGTTTAGAGGCGGGTCATATCTGGATGGTTAAAAGAGCTGAAGAAAGCAAGTTTAGGATTAAGTTTCTCATTAGATCCAAAATGTTTTACTTTTGGGATAATTTGTACCATAGATTGTACCTAAATTGAAGTGCAGGCCATTTTTATGCATTGACAATTTCATTAATGCTATGGAATTTATATTCGGACTATGTCATATGGTTTTGTTATGGCCTTACCGCAAGGTATTATTGTGTAGCCCAGTGTATTCAGGACTATGACAATGCTTTAATTTAGCAAAAATTCTCAAATATCTGGAATATTGAACTCCATTTGCATTTTTCCCTCGAACCGTTTGTTGTCTTTTGTCGCACATCGTTTGGCTCAACTCATTGTCAAACAATACAATATTGCTTTTTGCTGCTCCTTCAGTTCAATCGAACTAAATGTAACTCAACTCATCTTAACTCTGGCTAACCGCAGCTGTCTCTCAGCTGCAACAATGTTGCTGTTTGCTAGGGGGAGCATCATCATTTGCATTTTCA